CGGACAGTCAAGCTGCCATTAAATCTCTAATAGGATCTATAGCCAAATTCTAAACAATTTGAGAATGCTGGACTTTTCTTAAAGAGCTAGCTAGTCGTGTTGGTGTACCAACAGACCCAACTCACATGTGACCTAGATGACGAGTTTGCCCACTTAGCTTACATCCATTTTCATGATTTTTGTATTCCACTTGCAACGGCCAAGTAAACAATTAAACAAAAATATCTGAGTGTACTCCACCTCATGTATCAGTGTCCATCATTTGATAGCAGAAGATCTAAAATCTTTGGAGCAGCTTTCCTTGCCGATCTGACAGAATTGTCATTCTGAAAAATTAGGGACTTGGCCAGGCCAGGTTTATAGAGCTGTCAGGTTGACTAACTTTCGCTTGAATAGAGTAATCGTTGCTCGAGCGTTGATCTCTAGTCTACGTATGAACAACGCTAATTCATGGTTTTACAAAGAGCCATTATTTAAGCTTAACTAAGCTTTGAATACAAAGTCGTCACTCCTATCTAACCTAATTTACACCTACCATACAAACTACACTATTAGAACGGTTTTTTTACATTATTAATAAAGATATTTAAATTAAAGTTATTAACTGAAACTCGAAATAGTATATTAAATGTCAATGGCACGAACCTGAAACCAATAGTAAAACTTCTTCTTATAAAAGTATGCATTAAATAGAAATATATAAGGTGGAGTCCAAAATTAGCAGGACACTTTTAAAATAGATATTGTTAGAAGATATATATATTGGCAATTAGATGCATTGGTAGGGTAGTGATTAAGGTAAACAGAAGCAGAGGTATTGACATTTTTTGTTGTAAGTTTAATCTGTAGTTATTTCGTAATATTTTAACAAACACATAATAAAATAACCTTAAAAAAGAGTTTTCTATTATAATATACAAATTATAGAAAAAGGCATCAGATTATAGATATATTTGATTATTTATTTATTTATGATGTTTTAAGATATTTATACAAATTAATAAAATTAAAAATCATTTCTTGCAATATTCGCTTTTCATTGTTTTGATATCCCTAAAAATTAATAAAAATAATGTATGTAATAATTCGTTTTTATATAGTGTTTACTGTAGTCGTGCCAAAGTTGACAAAACTTAAAGCTTATTTTATTGAGTACTAAATGGAAGGGATGATAGTACAAACAAACAGAGATAAACTTCCATAACTCTAACTTCTATAACTTGAATTTTCTATAACTCGAACCAAAAAGAGTGCAACAGGGTTTTAGAGAGCAAATTACATACAATTCTGCTTCCATAACTCGGACTTCTATAATCCGAATTTCTCCAAAAATTGAATAAATATATTGTCACGTGCCAATAGTAATATGGGAAAGTGCATTCTATAAGTCGAATATTTGTTTTAAGTATGAATCTATTTTAGTCTTACGGGTAGTCCCTTTTTCCAAACCAAATGTTTAATTTTTTCTTTCTTATGTTGCTTCTTTGTCCAAATGCCAGTCGCTGGCATTTCGGCAAATAAATAGAATTGGCATTTCTTCCGCTGAATATGACCTCTAAATTGCAACTGCTTGATCAGGGAGTAATTCAAAATTTAAAGTGTAGTTATCGCAACAGAATCGTTTTCTTGAATAACATTAATGAAGACCATGAATTGATGTAAAAGTTAAGTAAATAAAATAACTTTTAATGCTACTCTTAACGATTGTATTGTGCTCTGAATAAATAGATCCGATTCTAAGCGCAACGGAAAGTAATGATAAGCGTACGGTGGATGATTTTGTTCATCAGCCTTCCAACAATGAAGTAGAAAACTGATTCAAATATCTAAATTTTTATTTGCAAACGAATGACACTACAACTGATGATCACTATAAGGCTTTGGGTAAATTGGAATCTTTTTTACTAAAAATAAAAAAAATTAAAAAACCCCAAACCCTAATTTCTAAATATTATTACTTACCTATAACTTCTGTGCTGTGTTCGATTTCAAATAAATAAATAAATATCTTAAAATGTAATTCTAGTTTCTTTCGAAATAGTACTTCGAGTTATGGAAGTTTGACTGTATTTTTGTAACAATATAAAAGGTGGATATAACGCCGTTATTTGTCTATCTACGCCTTTGGCAAATAATTCATATATTATCAAAATGATTAAAGACTTGATTAAAAACCAATTTTAAATGGTACATTTAATACAATTGATTAAAAATAATTTATAACCTCCGATTTTTGTACTATAATTTGCTATAATTTCTATTTTTATTGGGTTTTTAAATTTGAATATAAATTTGATTTTAAGTGGATTTTTTGATTTTTAGAGACAATTTTAAAAGGCAAATTAACAATAATTTTCCAGTTAATTATGTTGATTTAAGAAAAGATTGTAAGCTCGCGTTCAAAGACTAAACTGTATTTATATTTGCAATTATCTGCAGCACTGATCAGCGATTTAAACGAGATCATATCACAAGCACATGTTACTTTTCGAAGGTTAATATTTCTAACTTGTTAACGAACCACCTATATTTACACATATACATATGTATGTATACACATCACGTTTATGCGTATGTATATCAAAGTCATTTTAACATGACTTTCAGTTGTTAAAATAAACAATTACAATTATTTTATTTAGTTAACATCTGATTAGCATTACATAAAATGCATTCTATACACAAAATTTCAAAATCAAGATATGTTGCACCATTTGGATATAAAAATATCTAATGTCCAACGATTAAAATCATAATTATTTCTTCAACAGATTTGACCGCATAACGGAGAAGAAAAGCTTAAAATAAGAATATGAATGAACTAATATGTTTTTACAATTTCGTCATATAATTAATATCAAAAGTATTTAAAGTATTTAACAAGTCTTATTAAGAATATTAATTCTGATATATTGCCTTTGCAGAACCCAATGTGACAATTTTGAGTAGAAGAAATGCCTTAGATTCCTTTACATAATGGCGCACAACATAAGACGAAAACATGTGATCGCTTGCAACAACAACAACCAAAACACGCTGTTGTTTATTTTTTAAGGAGGAGGATATGTATACATACATATATGTGTTTAAAATGTATACAAAACAAGTTATGTATGCATGTATTTAAAAGTTTTAACTTAATTTTGGTAAATTCTTATTATTTTCAAATTGAAAAATATTTCTAGTTATTGTTACTTAATATGTTAGGATTTGTTATTTAATACAATAAACAGTTATTTTGACTTACCACTAAAATTTTTATTAATTATAAATATATTTATTCACCAAAACACTAACACAATATCAAAAATAAATTAAAGTTCATTTTGATTTTTATTTATATAATTTTTAATTATTTTATATTTTGAACATTTGTACAAGAGAAATTCGTGTCACACACGTTGTTTACAAAATAAAAATAGTAAATAGGATGGGTGCATTCAGTGTAGGCTTATTCAATCAATGAATACTTTAAAAGTTGATTAGTGAAATAAGTTTCAATATACAGTTGAGCAAAAAAAAAAATACTTGGCTGATATATTAGTCTATGCAGTAGTTAAAGTCTGAGATATGATATAAATTGAATGCATAATATGTATATAATAAGTATTTATTGTATATGTAAAAACAATCATAAACTGATTTTCTATTCATTGGTAAGTAAATTTATATATTCAAACAGCTTCTCAAAGTTAAAATAAATGCTTTAAAAATAAATATATAAATTTTTTATTGAAAATATATAAAATTGAAGTGTTAAATCACAAGTTATTATTATGATATCAATATAAAAAATAAAATTACTTTGATTTATTGGATTGCTGCCCAATCAATAATCAATAATAAACTTGGAGTTCAAAACCACCTAAAACTTTTAGCGATGGTTAGAGTGCTGTTTATTGGAAGGTTTTGTAGTTGATCAAGATGCTCAAAGCAGAGGGCTCCTAAAGGGACAAGTATCGGCTGTGTATGAGGTGGGCAAAGACAAAGTGAATGACGGGCATTTTCATCGTCTATACCACAGTGCGACAGGAATGATTAAAGTAGAGATTCAGTCTAAATTCATGTTAAACATGGTTTCTTAATCTGCAATGACCTGTAAGTAAACTTATTATAAGACTGATATCTCTACGGAGCATATCAATAAGAGTATTGGATTTCTTTTTACTGGAAATCTGGCCAAATGGCATACAGATGCCTACATATCGCCAAGTCTTCTCGTCTTTTAATAAAAAGTTCACCACAGAAAGTATACAGTAATAATTTACATGATGTTAACGATTTGTCCAGATTGTTTAGGTGATCCGGGTGATGTCCTGAAGAATCCTTTCTGGTTAGCTCATCTGTTTTCAATTGCTGAAAATATCCCTTTGATCGAGGACCCAGATTTGAGATATGTTAAGATATGTAAGCAAAATTGATAATTTAAGCATGACTTAAGTCAGTACTGACATCTACATTACGACAATGAAATTACATATACTAAAGAAATGAATGAAATAAAAAAAGGAAATAAATTTAAAGGGAAGTCCAGACATTTGCCATTTTATCACTCTCTCGATTACCGACCTACGTCTAAATTTCTATCGTTTATTATTAGGTCTTTACTGCTTATTTTAAAAATAATATATGAAATAACAACACTGCTGGCTTATTTAGTCCAACCTTTTTGAAATTGCTTAACTAAAAAGCAGAATTATTATTCATTTTCGAAATTTGTCTTTAAATTTTATTACGTGTTTTGCATATATCAGCTTAACAAAGTTTCCATTTTGTTATTTGTTCTTTTGCGCCATGCTTACAAAAAAAAATCTCTATTATTAAAAATACTAATTTGTCTAAACCACATCTGTTTCTTGTGTTGTTAGTAATTAAACAAATAATACTTTATTTAAGGAATGTGGCAACATCATGAAATCACTTTAAATTGCAAATTAAAAACTATCAGCTGGTAGAAATTTAGTGATAATAAACGAATATAAAAACATAAATTAAAAATTTCGAAATGAAACCGCATTATTTATTAAAAAACTTAACAAAACTAAATTATTTATATTCCACAAGACGTTTAACCTTGTCACAAAGAATAACATTATTCACAAAAAAAAAGTCATCTAATGCAATAAATTTTTGTTTACCGGCAACAACAATAATTGTAAATAACTCCAAGTACTGCACAAATGCAGAATTCAACCAATCTTCTCCTCAAATAAAAGCCGAAACTTTATTTAATTCATTAAATTCATATTATCAAATAAATGGCTACGTTAAAGCAGATACGTTGAACGAATTATTAGAAAGTGTTGAACGCGATGATAAATTGTCGAAGGAACAAATAGAATTCTTGCTAACCTTATGTAATCCAATACGTATGCCAACTGAAAATACTGCAGTTCGAAAGGAATTCTTTGAACGTTTATGGAATGTCTTAAAAACTCGAAACCACATTAACAAAGAATTATGCCATATAAAATTACAAATTTTTAAAGATAATCGCGTACCTTTGACAAATTTTCGTCAAATATTGCAGGAGTATGAAGAAAATGGGTGCACCACCAGCACACCAGACTTGTATTCCAAGCTTTTAAGGATAGTTTGTGAGAGTGGCAATATTCAACAGGCATTAGAAATTTTAACTGAAATGCGTAACAAAAATTTTGCTTTAGCTGAGGCGGATTTTAATAGTTTAATACTTGGACATGCACGCAGTTTTGATATAAATAACAGCTACAAAATTTTAGATAGCATGACTGCAGCTGGACTGTCTGCAAGCAGTGAAACTCAAACTATGCTTATTATTGCTCATTTAGAGAATAATGATATTCCTAAAGCAAAAGAAATTTTACATAAGTATCACGGCCAATTTAGTGCAGCTCAGATATTCAATATTCTGAGGTCTTGTTTAATCGTGGACTTCGATTTTGATTTAGAATTTATTTCTCAGCTTATATTAGAGATTCCAAAACTGGATTTAATAGGGCCCGAGGTACCGACAGCTTTAAAAAGTGTATGCATTGAAATGATTCACAATAAGTAAGTTGAACATATAAAATAAATGATTTAATTTAATCAATTTTAATTTAGAAAATTACCTGTTGTTTTGAAAATAATTTCTACTTTACCAAATCCGGAGTTTAATATAAATCAAAACACAGACACATTTGGAAATTTCCTCCTTCATCATATGTTTGCAATACGACATGAAACTGAAGGTATAATTGAAGCCTCGAAGCTATTAAAGGACAGTGGAAAAAATGAACGCGCCTTGCATGTTGCAACAGAAATAGCAATGAAGCGAAATCCACCAGTCGCGGTTGAATTTTTTAAATCCTTATCAACAGAAGAACCCTTACGTCCACATTATTTTTGGCCATTACTTATACATAATTTTCGCAAACATGGCGAAAGTGGAATAATACGTACTCTGAAGATTATGTCGACATTACAGGTAACATGCGATGAGGATACAATCATTCAGTATATTTTACCCAAATTGTCTATTATGCTTAACGAGCCAGCTAAAGCTATAAAATTATTGCAAAATGCTGGCTTGAAATCATCTCATATCATGCCCATCATTATTGAATATCTAATAACTCAAGACAAATTAGAAGAAGTATTCGAGCTATCCGAATTATATCTATCAAAATTTGATATGACCAAACTGATTCCAACTTTAAGTAAACAAACTGCCAATGTACGTGCAAAGAAACGATATTTTCAATTTGCCAAAATGCTTTCGAGTTTATTAAATAGAAATGAAAATCCAAAAGTTGATATTATAGGACAATTACTAATTCGTATGCTTGCAACACAAGGACGTATACGTACTGATGCCCTAGAGTTTCTAAGATTTATAAGACAAATGCATAAACACAATTTAAAAATATCTCCTACGGCAGTAAACGTTATACAATCATATCTAAAACAATTTGAGAACGATCATAGAGCAGAAGAAATACAGAAGACATTAAAAGACATGACTAACAAAAATTATATATTATCGGATGAAAGCGAAAAATCGTTTGATTTAAGAACATCATCATTTGCAAAGCATCCTCGTGATATGTCACTAGATGAGCTTGAATGTCATTTAATTGAATTAGAAACCAAAAAATTAAATACTCGAGGTGTATTAAGACGTTTATTGCAGTTATGTGTACGTGATAATCGTCTAGAGCGTGCTTTAGAAATAAAGACGAAATGTGATCAACTTAATGTAGACATTAGTCCAGGTATGTTGGCTAGCGTTTTCGACATGTACATTAAATTAAAAGACTTACCTAAAGCAAAAATGCAATTGGAGAAACTGAAGAAGACATTCCCAGGTATGTTTTGTTTCTATTTAATTTCAATACAATTACCTATAAATTTACTTAAATAATATAGGTTTTCAAATTGACGAACACAAAATAATTGATTATGCTGCTTTGTTAGTACACGATGGTGAACTTGATGTTGCTAAAAAATTACTAGAGCAACGTTCGGAAACTCAAAAAATTTTTGGTGGTGATTATGTTCTTAAAAATGTCTGGAATTTCCTTACAAATGTGGCAAATATTGCCGCCCAGATATCACCTCCTTTGGCTAAAGAAGAAAACATAACAAAAGAAAATTTTGAATTTTTAAAAAAATTGGGTTATTGTAAGATACATAATACTCTGTTGGGACCAATTGTGCGTGAATATTTGTTGCGACGAGATTTAAGATCTGCTATTGAGGAATTTAAGAAGTTAGCTCAGAGATACAGGCATACTCCTTTACAATTTGAAATACTTTCGTTGTTAGTACGTTTGGGGAACGCTGATTCCAAAGAATTCGAAAATTATGCTATAAATGTAGAAGATGCTCAAACCCTGTTGCGTGAGGTTATAAGCACTGTGACAAGTGTTCACGGTCAAACTAATTTAAACAGTGCTTTAATATTGGCGTTCGCTGAATCTGGTACCGATAATCAATTACGACGCTTAATGTTAAATCCTGAATTTCATATAAATGAAGAACTATTGCACAAGAATTGCGAGCATTTGGGACAGGAGGGTGCAGTGTCGACGTTAATGCGCCTAGCAAGAGCTTCTCGAAATCTTCGTACTATTGATGAACAAAGTATATACAATATGTTATTGAATAAATTTGTCAGTATAAATAATTATTCAGGAGCTTTAGATCTGTATGAATGCCTCGAAGCTGATGATGAATTAAAAATATCACAAGAGTTTCTACAAAATTTAGTTAAATTACTTAAATACAATAATGTGAATGTACCAAGCAATCTAGCGTTAAGAGCACAAGTTATATAGTTTGTAATTAATTTTATTTATTAATTGATTAATTTATGTTGCAATTATCAATTTTATAAACCTTGTTATAGATGAATGCTGTTTTTTACATAAAAAAATAAAAATTAATTGATCCTCTTTTTCTCATTACAACCTGTACTTCATATGAAATCTAAACTAAAATTTTTTGTAAATAATTAAATGTTATGACAGAAATAAATATCCATTGTTTTTATTTTAATGACGTTCATATACTGGCAATTTAGAATAGCGTTCTTGAATATTTGTGAAGTTTGATCATTTCGGAACGATTCCAGATAGTAATCTTTCTTATATCCACATTAAATAATAAAAAAAGTTATTTGACACTCATTATATTATTTTTAAGGCAGTATATAAAAACTGATTGTTAAATTATATTTTTTACATTTTCAAATAATTAATGCCTTATAAAGATATATGTTTTATTAAATTTGCCGATTATTTTATATATTTTTTCAAATTGATATACACAATCTACATTCAGCATGAAAAACATTGTATAATACCTTAAGTAAAGCACGGTCCTAATAGTTACTTTTGCGGATAATTCAATATAAAGGAGTAAAGTTGTGTTGTAACTAGCAGGGCTCTACATGTGGAGTCCCTATTAGATGTTGCGAGCAACAATTGCTCGTCAAACTCGGCGATTGGCTGGGGAACTTAGCTCTGGCTGTTCTTGAAGCCACAAAAATATAAAAACAATGTTTAACTATTGAAAACGTTATAAATTGACACTCGTATTACTGATAGCAAACACTCAGGATTTCATCAATGGTCACTCTATCCAAAAAGTCAAATAAGATTTTGGTGTGTAAAAATACTATACTTATAAATCCATTATTAATTATTATAGTAAGAAAATTATATTGTCTATTATTAGAAGTTAATTATAATTGGCAACATAATTACTATAGCGTATTACATAATTTCTATGAAGTTTAACATATATTATTCTCTAAATATCTGACTGCAATTAAATAAAAAAAATAATAATTTTTCTTTTTTTATTTATTTAGTTATTTTCAATTAAATACATTTTGTGTTTAAATTACATTCATAAACGCACAGACACACGCACTTATACAACGCACTGCAAAAACAAAAAAGCACACGTACATACAAAAATTCGCTCATTTTAACATTAATTTCAGTATAATTAATATAATTTTGAAATAACAATTTTATATTAATTTATTTTATTTTTCTTCTTTTTTTTTTCTTTTTTACTTTTAAATTATATTTGGAAATATTATTTTGATCATTTATTTTAATATACTATATAATTTACCTGCAAATATGTATATACATACATATATATAGTGTATACATAAACATATATGTTTATATATATATTATATATATATATATTATATTATATTATATATATATATATATTATATTA